GCGAGCTCCAAGCTTTAAAGTTTAAACTCTCAAGTCCTGGCTCCACACACACGTAACACTCTTGGGCCTATCTTGGAGGCTCTGAGCTTTACACTCGGGCATCCTAAAGGTGTATGTATGTGTGTGTGTTTGTGTGGATTGGAGTGGAGCCCCGCCCACACACCCACAAACGAGTCTACACTGGGAAAGGTAACACGGTGTCGATCAATTCTTCACTTCACTTTCATTTGCATTTTCGCAGGAGACTTAATTTTTTGTGGGTGTTTTTCCTTTTTGTTTTCTTTTTATTAGTGGGGCAGGTAGACGGGCACTCTTTGCGTGAATTTATTTATACTACTTATTTCGGGGCTAGTTAATTTGCCAGCCAGTCCAGCCATGTGAAAGTTTTCTGCATGCCACAAATTGCACAGACGTGCGAATGTTGACTAGGATAGCTAAGGCTTTGGCCATAGTTGCTGCCTTGGTCACCTGTCCCTCGGTTCCACATTCATATTTCATGGCGCTCTGAGCTCAAGGAGTCCCCGAAGGCAGGACAATGAGTCTCCACTCCATTCGCAGTCCATAAATCCGGCAAATGAGGCAGTTCATCTTGTTTTCGAGGAGCTGCTAGCCGCTAGCTGGCCTGGCCAAGTCAAGGGGATAGTGGTGGTGGATAGTGCTAAGCCAAGATAATGGCCGGTTTTCAGTGGTTGTCTGGTTCGATTTAGTTGAAAAGTAAATTGAAAATTGCTGTTAGGCTGTAATGGGGCAGACAGAAACCAGAAAATTTGCCGAGTAGGAGAGCTTAAGGGCCTCTAAAGTCATTATAGACCTTAGAATTAAGTACATAGTTCATTGACTGACACCTATCGATCGCTGGGGCGAATCGGTCTTAAATTGCTTAATTCTGAACGCAAGTATTGTTTCGGGAAAGGTGTACGCAAACTATAGTAATTTACGAGTAATTTGTTTTAGTTTTATCATTATTTTACGTCTTTGAGCTTCACTTATCGCATTACTTATCGAACGATTTATTTATTTACTGGCCTAATGGCATTTTGAATGCTGATATTTGAGAAATATATGAAAATAATTTAGATAAGTGCATTGAACTCGCAAACCATAATGTCTAATATATATAAACAAACTGAAAAATATTTACCCCTCTCACCGGCAGCTTCCATAATTTTCCAGGTTACCGAAGGCGACCATAAATCTCCCCATGGGTCCAAAGGCCCAACCCAAACCCCAAGCAAGGCAGTAAACCTCCACTTAACCTCCATTTCCCATTCCCATTCCCATGGCCAGACCCCACAGAAACATGAGCATAAATTGAGATTTTGCTAAGCATTTGCAAAACTTATTAAGACTGACAAATGTTGACAATTGACGAATTGGCAATAAGGGGGAAGGTGGTGGGAATGAATGGCAGGCAGGAGGTAAATCTGTCAGTGGTTCAACAAGCGGTTTTGGCCCGGTCTTGTCGCTGGCTTTCTGCGGTTTTCCACTCCCCAGTCCCAAATTGGTTTCTGCTGCCATTTCGGTGACATTAATTTACAGTTTGCCAATTGCTATGAAAAAAAAGAGAACATCGACAAAACTCATTAAGAAAACACTCTCAAGATAAACGAAAAAGAACTTGTACAGCTAAAGGCAAACAATTTATGACAGCAGAAAATAAACGAGTTAAGGGAAATTTTAGCATGTAATTCGATCTGCCGGAGATCAATTGGCATAATCAGATGCGAACGTAAATGAGCAGGTAAACAATATTTGGTTTATTGGCCCATGCAAGAAAAGAAAGTTGCAGGTTATGGAAGAGGAGAATGTAAAGCCGATTCTCAAGACACACTTTTGGATTTTAATAAACTTATGATCAATTTATTTATTATTATTATTTTGTATATTTATAGAAGGGGGTTCTTAAAAAATTCGGAATTTAAATTTAAAATAGTCTATTAATCCTTCTTTTCAATGCCTAATTCAATTAAATATATAAACCTATTTATTTAATAAAGTTTAACTTGTAAAACTCTATTTCTTTAGTTTCTTAATTTCACGTTCTCTCTGACTCGCGCTCGTTTATTAGTGATCGTACTCTCATTCACTGGAATCTTTTCCAGATCAAGAAAGGGAAAAAGGAGATAAGCTCTTTATGCACGAACAGTCCCATACACACATACACATTTGCGGGCATTATGCAATGATCCTCTGACCACTCTGCATCTTTCCTCCTTCCTTACCGTCCTCACCTCTGTCGCTCTAGCGCTGGCCACTGAAGGAAATGAGGTGAATGCCTTCTTAGCAAGCAACAAACAAAACAAAAACCAACAAGCAGAAAGAGAGGAAGTGATAAAGAGAGCAGGAGAAAAGGAAGCGACAGCCCAAAGTCCAAAAGCCAAGCGAAATCGATATTTTTCAGGGACGTCTCCTCCCTAACTAAAAAAACCCCCTTCTTGCCACCAATTGTTATGCCTTTTTTAAGTTTTTTCTTCATTTTGTTCTTTGAATGCACAGAAAAAAAAGTATATTACAAATATTTTGTTTACATCGGTAAGAGGACAATTATGGGTATACTTTTCATTGCGTTTTTAAATTTTTAGAAAATGAACTCAATTTATCAATTACTTGTTCAATTGTTTCCTTGTTCTTTTAATTGAGTTATTAATTTTTTTTTGTTCATATGGTTTTACTTGTTTATTTCTGTTTTTGAGGGTCCAAGAGTTTTAGATAAATAAAAATTGATTGTATCAGGTACAAGATCATACTCTTTATTTACAGTGTACTTTTTGTTGTTTTCAATGCGGTTTCCACAATTTTGTGTTCATTCAAAGAGGGGTGACGGCAGAAGTGGAAGTCGCTGGCAATCCAGGGTATGACTAGTTTCCAACTGGGCGATGGTGACTCACACAGAACATTTGCGACCAACTTGCAGTTCTCTTCCACTGCCACTTCGCACTAGTATCTGTATTTGAAACCGAGCGAGTGCCTTTGCAGTGTAGCAACCGATGTTTTATTTCGTATCTGCGGTTTCTGCGCTGTTCTGACACACGTGAAGCCACATCAATCCATTAGCCGACTTTTTCGCTTAAACTTGACGCCTTGGCTTGTCCCTTTCCCAATTTCTAGATAGAATTGCAGATAATGGTTAGTATGGGGGAAAGCAAAAGTGGTGAAGACTGTCATTGATTAAGAGTTTTCTTATGATTTACAGATTTGCAGAACACTTAAAAAATGTGTTAAATAACTTGCAAGTCTATGTTTATAGCCTAATTTGTTTGTTGCTTATGAGCTGTTAGAACTCTAAGGCACGAAGCAGGTTTACTTTCACATCGCCGCCGACCCCTTGGCAGCTAGAGAACATAAACGTGCTCGGAGTTATCGCCTTATCTCAGCCTCTGTTCCCAGAGCCATCAACGTAGCTCTTCCCCGGAGGCGCTACTCAGTTACCTGCACTTGTCACAGAATCTCCAGATGGCTCAACCGGGATAATGACGATCACTTAGCACATGATCCATACCATAGTTAGCAGCAGTTGGGCTTGCTGAAAAAACCAGAGTCATTGGCCCAACATAGCCGAGCAGGCCAACAACCAATGATTAGCAGCAGGCAGGCATAAATTCTAAGTTTTATCTTTGAGATTGCGTAACGGCTTCTCCTGTCTGCAGCCGTAAATGGCAAACACTAATTGCCGCCTGGCCTGGTCGCTCATAAAAAATGGGAATGTTGCAAGAGTCGTTGCTGCAGCATTATCGTTAAAACAAATGTTTGGTTTTTAGTCTCCGGGCAATTGCAAATATATATAGTCCCCAAAAAGCTTATGAAATTGCCTTGAAAGAAAAAAAAGGGGGAAAGCCAATCGATCCGTCGATCGAATGATCGGTCGTTCATCGAAATCATCGGTCCGGTCTGGTCCGGCCCTTAGCCCCGGGCTACACACTTGCTTTTTTCTTTCGGTTTTTTTTTGGGAAAGCATCTCGGATATTGCATAAGTAGGACATCGGCAGGGCGGGGTCCTCACATTGAGGAATTTGGGTTACCAGAAGCAGAGAAAGGAAATTTGGGGGCCTTTGAATCTAAAGGAGCCATAATTTATGCAAAGAACTTAAGGTATTTCGTGGGTAAGACACTGCTGACCCATTTAACAGCCAAATAGCTGATCACATGTGGGTGGAAATAACAAATTCTCCATTTAAAATGTCACAAAATGTCACACAGATCGAAGTTGGGGCGAGTTACGGCGACGACGATGACATCACAGCCCAAATGTGTGAACGAATGTGTATTTAATGCCACACCCCCTGCCCTACTCTAATATATACTAAATCACCGCCCCTCGATCTCGCCCAGAAAATGCAGAAATTAAATTCTTCAAGAGCTGCTGCAGCCAGCCTCGAGTTGCAATGGCTTCTTTTTAGGTGTGGAATTGAGTCGTTTCGGGAGGGAAAGGGAATTGAGATATGGCTAATTCCTTGAATTTAAGATTATTTATAGGCCTGTGTGGGAAGAAAATGTATATATAGCTCTTGTGTTTAATTAAGTAGTAAGTAACTAACTAACTAGCTGATCAATTATTATTTTCTCTTTGATTTCAGGTAAGTTAACCATTTCCCAAACGGCCTCCGTTACGGATTTTCCCGCAGCCCAGAGAAATGTTTTCCCCTTTGATTTCCCAACTTGGCATATGAAAGAAGCGCAGGCGGATTTAAGAGCGGCTAATTATGCACACGTAGGCCGGATGTCGGATATATACAAAGTAATCCGTATGCTAATCGCATGCAGATGTGCGGTCAGTATTTTGAACCATCCGTTTACGGAGCGTAGGAAGCATTACTTAAACTAACTGCTTTAAGAGATGAGGATGCATACAAAATTATATTGAAAAGTCCATTCCGATTGGGCTTGGGTAAGAAAATTGATTTATTAAAACAGTTTACGAAATATAAACTAAAGATTTGTGTGGACATGATTATTTTGTAGCATTTTTTGGATACATTGAAGCTTGAATTAATTGACCAGGATTAATTGTCTCGCTCGGGCATTTATTCGATCACATGGTGTCTGCAAAGCAGTATATAGTTTCATATGTTTAAATAAATTTTTTTTTTCCAAAAATTAAATTTTCCCCAAAAATTCCCAAAAAAAAAATTCCACTCATTATCCGTTGTTGGTCTTCATGGCAATAACGCTCTCTTCTCCGCAGGCCGCTAGAACGGTGCAGAGGAGGTCTTTGCCTTCGTCAAACTCGGAGCGCAGTGATCCTCCGAGATCACCTTCCGGAATCTTGAGATCCTCCCGTATCTCACCGTTGTCTGCCATCAGGGTGACATATCCATCGTCACTGATATCCGTCAGTTGGTAGTCCTCGCGCTTCACATGCGGCACATCCATGTTGTGGGTAGAGGGGCAGATATCCTCGTACTTTTTCTGGGTAAAAATGTCAACCCCCACGAGATGCACCTTGGCGTGACCGTGCTTTCCGGTCTTCGAGGTAGACATCTCTACGATCTTGCAGGGGCGTCCCTTGAGCATTACAAAGCCATTCTTCCGTAGAGCCGAGCACTGCATCGGGAAAGTCTTCGAGGCACCAGAATCCACGGTGTCAAACTGGGTGTCGCCGTCGTCTTCCATGGCTAAGTTAACGAGATAAATTTTAGAAATTTAGAATTGATCCACTTTCCTACTTTTTATATTTTGTTGGTTCACCTTTTTTTTTTTTGCGATTGGAATCTTTTTTTTTGTGTAGTATCACTTATTGTTGTAACTTTTTATCAAAAAAGTGAGAACGTATAAAATAAGAAACCTTCCTGTTCATTTGATAAATTGTAACTGAGTAAAAGCTATAGCTTTTGGCCTTAACACCCAATGGGAAGCTGACACAAAGAGCATCGCCTGTTAAGTTATGTTTAAAAATGGAATACTGGATGTGGTTTTAACTTTTTTAAAGTCTTAAATGTTTAGTTTCCTATAATCCTAATTGATCTCCAACCTGCATCTTTAAAGATCTTCAATCCATCTGGCCTAATGATATTCGTGTTTGCTGTGATTGTTGCAACCTTCTACAAAAAATCTTTAGAGGAACATCATTTAGGCAGGAGAAGATCTCGATCAATTTATCAAAAATCTAATTCCCTTTACCGTGCTCGAATCAAATTAATTGAAGATCATTAAGAGATGGCTTCGCTCTCTTTCTTTGGGGTGTGTCAGGGTCAGTTATGAAATCGCCTCGAATCGTTTATCAAACCGGGGGTCGGACCCTACAGATGAGGTGTGGTGTGGTTCGTGGCTGGTTCATTGACCCATTAAGCCAGGAGCTGGGCCTGGAGTCGCAGCACCAGACCAGGGGAGAGAGACACGACTGTCTGAGGTGGGCCACCTGAACAATTCCAACGCTATTTGCGAATCGGAGAATTTTGCCGGTTTTCCTCGACAGTTGCCTTCCATTTGCATTTTCATAAGTTTCTTGTGGCTCGGCTGTGTTTACTTGATATACTCTTTCCAAGAAAAAAAGTGTGGAATTTCATTAAAATTTAATTATTTTTGGGTATTTTTTGGGAAGAAGATTGTTGAAGTTTTTGTTTGCTTTTAAACAACAAAAATTAAATAATTTGAATTAATGAACATGAAAACGAAAGACTTGATGTGACTGAAAAATTAGAGCCATGCGAAAGCATAAATCTCTGCTATAAAATAAGTCAACTTTGCTTATTTTCTACCCACAGAAATGTAATTTTAACTTTTCTGCCTTAAGGGTATCAAAACTTTGTCCTACCACAGCGTTTTTTGTATATTTTCTTTGTTGGCGTCGATCAGAGGATTCTCCTCTGCTTTCAGCCTCCCCCTCACGCTTTTTTCTCTCTTTATTTTTTAGCCGTCTGTGCGGATCATTTTGAATTGACAGCAGCTCGTTTTGCTTCCTTGTTTGCCATTGCATTGGCAAACGACTTGAAAGCATTTGCATTTGCAGAGAGAGGAGGCAGAGGAGACAGACACTCACTCACTCAATCATGCATTCATTCACTCAGTCGCTCATTTAATCATTCGCCCGCCATTCAAATTTTGTAACTGTTTTGTCTACCAATTTGACATCTCAGCCTGCTATTTCTTTCTAAGGTTTTTTCTAACTCCCCGAAAATCCCCCTCAAGGTGTGTTGTCTGTGTCGGTCGTGGCCTATGCGTGGTCTCGGAGTTCGGGATTTGCTGTCATGTCTTTGGGTTAAATGCAATAAATCTGCTAATACAATTTTATATGATTTTCTCGAGCGGAGTTCGTTTACGTTTTCGGGAAGCGGGTTTGTGGGCACTCCCTGAATTTAATTGGAACCCTGGGAACCCATGTGCCGGCCCCGAATGATGTCAGAACGTGGAGTTTGTCGTGTTCGATCCACAAAAAAAAAAAAGAGAAGCCAGAACCACAGTCAAAACAAATTGAAAATTGAACAAATAAAATAAATAAAAAACAAACATTTGTGATATGTGTTGACAGCTCACAATTCCGCTGATGAAGGCGGGTCGCGTAATTGAGGCAAAATTGAGGGAGGGTCTCTTAAAGAAAGGAGTTCGGGGAGATAAAGACTATATCGAGAACCGGCATGTCACCATTTTGCATGTTTTTTGCTGGATAAGAAACGGATGTTATTTATTTTTAGGCATTGCCCAAGAGATTAATGTGGAAATGAGCAATGAAGTTTCAAGGAACTGGTTTTCTAAGTTCTGAATTCATTTCAGCATTAATTTATTTCAATTTATTCGCTGATGAAATGAAGATCAATGAGGCGATCAGAATTATAATGTATTTCAGAGATCATTATGGCCAAATAAATCAACTAATTAAAAATATCTATATATCATAATCAATGGATATTGTATTTTAAATAATAAATACATTGAATTTTTTATAGAGATAATTATTTTGGATATTTCCTGATCTCATTTAAGGTGAAGTGAACATTTTCTCATATTTGCAAACAATACAGATACTAGTAAGGCCTATATATAGTATGTATGTACCCTCATTCCCATAACAAACACACCCTCGCGCTTTTCTAGCACCCTGTCCCCTTCCTTTTCCTGCAATTTTCCCTTGCCATAATATAATGCGTGCTGTTGGTAACATCCAAACAACAACTTAAGGAAGAAACTGCAAACCAATTCAGAGGCCATTTCCTTGCGTTTTTCTCCCCGCTTCCACCCTCTTCCAATTTAACCAACTGACATAATTCCCAGGGAAAATGTTAAATGCATTGGAAACCACGGTTATGTCTCAATTAGGCGCAAAGAAACCAGTTTGAAACAACAGCAACTGCTGCAAAAAACAATATCAATTCAAAATAAACTTTAAGAAGCGGCAAAACCAATTCATTATAAAAACAAAACACGAGCCCAGCTGCCAGCAACAAAAACAATTTTGCAAACAATGTGCATTCGGGGGAAAATTGCAGAAGAAAAAAAAAGTTGGAAAGAAAAACTCCACGCAATGCCGCTTTTCCTGCTTCCCATGGGCCCAAAAACACAAAAAAGAAAATTGTTTTTTATAAATTAATTTCCTTTTGGCGGTCCAGCGAAGTTATGGGAAAAATCCAAGGATGCAAATATCGATGGGAAGGGGGAAAGCCTTTAACCTTAGACTGCAGGGTTTTTCACTGTCAGCTTTTTTGTTTTTCTTTTTTTTCTTCGGGAAACTCTGAAGACCCTCTGTTTTGCTGTTGGGGAAAACCCACGCAGCGCTTGCTATTTTAATGGAGACATCAAGCGATGGTTTCCCTCTCCGTTTGTGTTTTATTTCTGTTTTTTTTTGGCGCCTCAATTGCTTTTAATGGTCACTTGTGGCGCTGGGTACGCCTCATATCTCTGTGGACACCCCCCGGTATTTCCACACTTTGTCAATAGCCACTGCACTTTCCGTTTGTTTAATGTCGCAACATTGTTGAACTTTTTATTTATGTTTGTTCGCTCCAAGAGGGGGCATTCTCTCAATGAACTCCAGCAAGCACGCCCCCACTTTTCTGCCTCATCTCGCCCACATTTCAATGCTGCACTCAAATAATGTTCCTTGGTTGAGTAGTGTCAGCGAAGCGTTGACTGGCATTTATACAGCTCTATCTATATTTTCTTATAGAGCTATATGACTATCTATTTATAGTTTAATTGTTATATCGTCAGTATCTGATGGGAGCGATTTTTACTGCTTATTTTATGAGATGTTATCTGCCTCAAGGGGAGGATAAATAATAATGTATGTACTTTTCTTATTCAGTAAGATTTATTTACAGAATTTTCGATTTACCTTAACTACCACACCACTCAATAAGTTCCCGGCCTGACATATACGGGGCAGTAGTAACCAAACATCGATATTTTTTATTGATAGTGTCTTTTATCATAAGCTTTGTGTACAAATTTTACAACTCTGCGACCACGTGTTTTCAAGTTATAAATTTTAAAGTGAAACAACCTCTGAGTTTTTCTACAATATGGAAAAAAAAAAAATTTCGTGTCCTCATTAAACACTGTTTTTTGATTGGAAAAAATACGGTAGAAGCCAAAATTTGGCTTGATAAGCATTACCCGGACTCTTCTCCAGGAAAATCAACCATCAAGGACTGGTACAATGAATTTAAACGTGGTCGTGTGGACACCGAAGACGCTGACCCTAGCGGTCGCCCAAAAACAGCAGTTACGCCAGAAAATATCGCCAAAATCCGAAAAATTGTATTGGCCAAACGCAAATTTAAATTAAAAGAGATAGCTAATGCATCAAAGATATCAGAAGGCAGTGTGTTCGCGATATTCCATGAATATTTGGATATGAGAAAGCTCTGCTCAAAGCGGGTGCCGCGATTGCTAACACCGGACCAAAAGCAACAACGCATTGATGATTCCGAGACGTTTTTAAGCATGTTGAAGCGCAATGGGACCGATTTTTATCGCCGTTACGTAACAATGGACGAAACATGGATACACTACTATACTCCAGAATCCAGTCAACAGTCTTCTGAGTGGGTGGTATTTGGTGAAAGCCGTCCGAAGCGTCCCAAAACACAAATATCGGCGGGTAAGGTTATGGCGTCCGTATTTTGGGATGCATATGAGATTTTGTTTATAGACTACCTGGAGAAAGGTAAAACAATCAACAGCGAATATTATATAAAGCTGCTGGATCTACTGGACCAAGCTATCAAGAAAAAAAACGTCCACATATGGCAAAGAAGAAACCGCTGTTTCACTGGATAATGCACTGTGCCACAAGTCTGTGGCAACAATGATGAAATTGAGCGAATTGAGATTCGAACTACTGCCGACCGCACCCTATTCTCCAGATTTGGCCCCCAGCGACTACTGGCTTTTTTCAGATCTCAAAAAGCACCTCCAAGGCAAGAGATATCGAAAAAATGAGGAGGCGATTGCCGATACTGAGGCCTATTTTGAGGGCAAAAGTTCAGCCTTCTCCAAAAATGGCATCGAAAGGTTGGAGAAGCGCTGGACTGAGTGTGTAGCCGTAGATGAAAACTAAATTGATGAATAAAACTAAATTTTCAGAAAAAAATGTGTTTTTCCTTCTTAGGCCGGGAACTTATTGAGCGGTGTGGTACATTTATTTAGAAATACTGTTGATAACTGCTCCCATCTCGGATCAGCATTCGATATTCGATATGGACTCCATGGGCCCCATTCAGGGTCGTTCCGCTTTAGCTGTCTGCTTGTCTGTCCCATGCTCTTGGCACGCAATTAGCATTAAAAATTGAATTAGCTTTTCCTATGCTGTGAGGTCTTACCCAACTCGGCTCGGTTTAGTTGTCATTTGAATATTTCATTACCAAAGTCAAGCTGCATAATATCGCAGTACGGTTTTAATGGGTTTGACTTTGAGCCAACCGAAACGT